CCCTGCGCAGGGAAAAACTCCTAAGGCCAACAGCAGCGGCCGTCCCGAGTCACGGCGATTGGTGGCGGTGGTGGCGGCGGTGGCGATTGCTGTTGTTGTGTAGGCGGTTTCGGGGAAGAAGGCTCGCGCCACCCTGTCGCCCCCGACCCCGCCTCCACCACCACCGCCACCGCCTCCGCCGCCTCCACCGCCACCGCCTGCGCCGCCACCGCGCCCTCGCCACGTCCCCACGCCACCGCGGCGTCCCTGCCGCCGCCGCGCTTGCCGCCGCCTCCGCCGTGCCCCCCCCCCGGACCCGCCGCCACCGCCGCCGACGGCCGCCGAGCCTCGCTTTGTGTGTGCCGGCTGCCGAGACGTCATCAGTGCGGGTGTCGGGGTGGGGCTTGGTGCCTGGTTCATCGACAGCTCCATGACGGTGAGGGAGGCGTTGTTGCAGGCGATCTGGAAGCCGTTCATCACGGCGATGATCGAGAGCCCCTTCCAGTCGTTCTGTATCACGTGCGCGTGCCTCGACGAGTAGCTCTCGTTGAGAATCATCAGCGGAGAGAGCGCACACGCGCCAAAGATCATGTGCGACGCCGTCATCACGAGTGGGAAGCGGAGCCCATACAGGCCGAGGGCCCAGCGGTTGAGTAGGTTGAGAGCGCAGTTGAGGACTAGGTACCTGCGCGGGAGTGCAGCCCGGACCCAGGAGTCGGAGGTTTTGCGCGCAGCAAAGGCGGGCCCCGCTGGCACCGGGAAGGTGGTACGAGGCGCGGCGTGCACACATTGTGATGATGAAGACGGCGAAGACGAGCTCCTTACTAGTCATCGCCATGTTGAACACCCGGCTGACAGCTCAACGCCTTTGCGATGGGCGATGGGCGGCGCCAGCTCAGAGTCTTGAGAAAAAATGACCGTGTACGGTGTTTTTTGTTTTCCTCCCCCTCCCCCTTTGCTTGTTTGTTTGTTTCGGGGCTACCTAACCTAACCTCGGGGCGATGTTGCTCGCGACCGCCTCCAAGACGGCGCGAGGGTCCGCGGCGGCGAGCGGCTCTGCTGCGGCGAGCGGCGCGGTCACACGGTTGCCCGAGCCGCCGCCGCGGCGCGAGCCGCGCGAGCCGCGGCTGCGCGCCGCGGCGAGGCCCTCGCTCACGCAGGCCATCAACTCGCAGCGCTCTGCCCTGCCTGCTGAAGAAGAAAATCCAGCCGGCCATCCACGAGCCTCGTCGTCCCCTCGTCACCGGGAGGGAGGCGGGAGCCACCCAAACGGCGCTGTCTGAAGAAATCTGCTGGCCGAGGTGCGATACCTACCCACCTGCGACCGGCAAGCACATACACCTCAACTCGGAGCATCCCATACGAGCCGTCTTCCGCCAAGCAGCAGCGCCGGCTGTTTTGCTCTGCCCGCCTGCCCTGCGCGGAGAGAAAGAAAGGGGAAACAATAAAAAGAAAGGCGGGGCGGCGGCGGCGCCACGCCCACGGACGGGGGGCGCGGCCGGAGAGATGATGGCAGATGCAAGAACGGCCAGACGCCTCTCCAGAGCCACTATTGACGCAGCCCCGCCGTCGAGGTGGGGAGAGCTCTCCGCCGAGTGCAACGTCCAACGCGTGCAAAACGAAAAACAGCGCTTAGTATGGGGCGCTCCCCCCCACCGTGCACCGACGAGCCACACCGCGCGCGCCGCACGGCGCACACACCGCGACGACGCACCGTCCGCGACGCATGAGAGGCCGTGAGAGCGCCGGCGTGCCGGTCGTGCGGAGTGGGGGTGTGAAGACGGCAGATACCGCGAGAGCGTGTCGTAAGCGGCACGTCGAGGCGTGTCTGAACTGTTCAAGATACTCTACACCGGTTAAGGGCCGTCTCTATTGCTTTTTGACAACATTTGCTCGCCGTTTGTGCGCACCCTCGTCTGCACGGCGGGGCTCGCCGCCAGCTGCTTAGGAGCGTGCGGGAGACCGGCGAGGGGCGCGCCGCGCGCCGCCCCCGCCTGCAGAGCCGCCAGAGGCATTGTCGCCTCCGCTGGCGGGGTTCCCGCGCGCCCGCCCGCGCCCGGACCCGCCCACGCCGCGCCCGCGGGCTCCGGATGCGCCGCCATCCTTCTCCTTCTTCTCGATGGCAGTCCGCGTGTGCTTGTCGGCGGGTCGGCGGCGTGGTCGAGGGGAAGGTCCAGGCCGGCGGCCGCAACTCTGCCGCCGTCGCTCCGCCGGCTCTGATCGATTATCGGGCGTTGAGGGCGGCGGCGCAAAGCGGGTCTGGCGCATCCATCGCCACGAGCCTCGCGGCCGCGGTCGTGGCACACCTGGTGGCGGCTCTCGAGGCCGTCTCTACGGCGCTCGACGCCGTGTGAGGTCGCCGGCGGCCGCAACTCCGTGTCTCCGCCGCCGTCGCTCCGCCGGCTCTGACCGAGTATCGGGCGTTGAGGGCGGCGTCGCAAGCGGGTCTGGCGCATCCATCGCCACGAGCCTCGCGACCGCGGTGGTGGCACACCTGGTGGCGGCTCTCGGGGCGGCCGTCTCTACGGCGCTCGACACCGTGTGAGGTCGCCGGCGGCCGCACCTCTGCCGCCGTCGCTCACGCCGGCTCTAACCGAGTATCGGGCGTTGAGGGCGGCGGCGCAAAGCGGGTCTGGTGCGCCACGGCCACCACCCTTGCCACCGCCCTTGCCGCCGCCCTTGCCACCCTTTGCCGCCTTGCCTCCGCCGCGGGCGGCGGTGGGAGCGGCCTGCTGGGCTAGCATGTTGTCCTTGCTGGGGACGGGCACGTGGAACGTCAATTCATGTTCGAACGGCCTCCGGGATTCAAACAAAAAATAGCCGGGGCCCTCTCGCAACCCCTCCGACCCCCCGGGACCCGTGGGCGTCGCGAAGAGGCGCTCTCGGGGGACCGTTCTGAGTTCATGCTACCACGAAGCACACTGTGCTGCGTCGAAGCACCGGGCCCGAGTCGCGGGGCCGCGTCGATAGTGGCTCTGGAGAGGCGTCTGGCCGTTCTTTCTTTCTTGCATCTGCCATCATCTCCGCGCCCCCCGTCCTATGCATAGTCCCGCGTCCGTGGGCGTGGCGCCGCCGCCCCGCCTTTCTTTCCTATTGTTTCCCCTTCTTTCTCTCCGAGGCAGGGCAGGCGGCACAGAGCAAAACAGCCGGCGCTGCTGCTTGGCGGAAGACGGCTCGTATGGGATGCTCCGAGTTGAGGTGTATGTGCTTGCCGGTCGCAGGTGGGTAGGTATCGCACCTCGGCCAGCAGATTTCTTCAGACAGCGCCGTTTGGGTGGCTCCCGCCTCCCTCCCGGTGACGAGGGGACGACGAGGCTCGTGGATGGCTGGCTGGATTTTCTTCTTCAGCAGGGTGGGCAGCGCTGTGCTGCGTCGAAGCACCGGGCCCGAGTCGCGGGGCTGCGTCGATAGTGGCTCTGGAGAGGCGTCTGGCCGTTCTTTCCTTCTTGCATCTGCCATCATCTCCGCGCCCCCCGTCCTATGCATAGTCCCGCGTCCGTGGGCGTGGCGCCGCCGCCCCGCCTTTCTCTTTCCTATTATGTTTCCCCACTTCTTGTGTAGTTCTCTTTCTCTCCGAGGCAGCGCAGGGCAGTGCGGCACAGAGCAAAACAGCCGGCGCTGCTGCTTGGCGGAAGACGGCTCGTATGGGATGCTCCGAGTTGAGGTGTATGTGCTTGCCGGTCGCAGGACGCTGCTGACATGTATCCGTGTAGGGCATGACACAAACCGCACTACTCACTGCACACTAGCTCCGCGAGTAAGAGCCACTCTCTCTCTCTCGTTTGTACCTGCGCGCAATCGCGCCCCGGGCCCGCCCCCCCCGCCGGTGCAAGTCCCCCCCCCACCCCTCTCCTGCCGCTCATTGGATGAGCATGCGGTACGAGTCGCCCGCCGTCCACGACGTTGCGAGGGTGTTGGTGTGGCCGTTGCCTGGCGGGCCGAGCGTGATGCTGTTGGGCACCACGCCGCGCGGGACGCCTAGAGACACAGCACCGGC